GGCCCTGCTTATGCCCCTCACTGCCCCCCCACATTCCCCTGGTCATGCTAATGCCCCTCACTCCATCCCCCCTGCACAGCCCCCTGGCCCTGCTGGAGCCCCTCGCCCCCCACCCACAGCCCCCCTGCCACCCGTAGCCCTGCTGGAGGGGGCCCCCAGCTGCCAGGGCTATGGGGCCAGGGACCCAGGTCTACAGCCCCTTGCCCCTGGCAGAAGGCAGTGGCTACTGCAGCGGAACAGTGGCTCCCCTCCCTGCTGTCTGGGCTCAAGCGGGGAGGGCTAGTGCAGGCTGCCCCTCAGATCTGTGCACAGGGCAGGGCCAGGCACAGGCTACCCACTGTGGGTTTGGGCTTGCCATCCTGCTGCCCTCCCCAGGGGCCTCCACGGCCCAGTGGATGCAACCCAGTGCTGCAATGAATAGCAAGGCCATGCAGGGAAACTTGTTGCCACTGCTAGCTCTGTACTGCCCTGGTGATGCATCCCCTGCGTGCACAGCAGCAGTGAGGAGCACAACCCTGTGCCACCCCCGCTGCTGCCACACACACAGGGGACAAGTTGCAAGGGCAGCACGGAGCTTGCAGCGCCAAGGAGACCCCTGGAACACCAGGTCACACCCGCTGGGCTGTGGATGCCCCTGGGGAGGGCAGCAGGGCAGAAGCCTGAGTCCGCAACAGGCAGCCTGCACCTGCCCCCACCCCATGTACAGATCTGGGGGGAACAGGTCCCTGCCTGTCTGCCAGAGTGCACACAGTAGCAGGGAGCTGGCCCCACCCCCATGCCCCCCAGATGAGCCACCCGCCCTGCAGCCATGCATTGCGGCCCTGGCCCCCAAGCCCCACGCACTGCCTGGCTGGGCACCAACCTCAGCCCTGCTCAACTCCCTCCCTCCCTACGGGGGCCTCAATTCTCCCCCCCACCCCCGCCCAACATCTCTGGGAGCTGCTCTCTAGGTTGCCTGGTGTCCATGTGCATATACATGCACATGTTGCCCCCTTCCTCCCCCGGCCTGACTGCCCTCCCAGCCCCCTGCAGGCTGGAACTGCCAGCCTGCAGAGAGCTCTTTGTAAAACTGCAAAACTCACAGGTTTCTCTGTTAAAATAAGAAATCCACATTTTCCTCCAACAAGGGGGAAATCTTGTGTTTTTCTGTTTTTCCATGGGAAACGGAAAACACGGATCCCTAATTATAATCAAGATCACTTCAAAAACAGAGATGAAAACTGTTGGCTTTCCATCTTTTGATCCCAAAGCAGCCAAATATTCATATGTTTGTTAGCCTGCCTGTCTGTTACCTCTTATGAAAAGTGATTTGTAATGAAGTTGATAGGAGATGCATCATCAAGTTCTAATTAAGGAGCTGATTATTTTGTTCAGCTCTTCTTCAGCTCCAGAGCATAAAAATAACAATATAATGAGAAGGAAGGTATACAGCACTGCCTCACTAGTGACATATTTATTCTATATATGTGTTTCGCTAGAACTGCATGTGAGCCAAAAGAACATGCTTCTTTGTTTCAAGCTACTCCAATGTACCATTTAAAAAAAAAAAAAAAAATCAAACATTTTTCCAGAAGAGTAACATAAAATAATGGCAAACAGGAATGAAATAGTGCATGGCCATGGCATGGCTCATGTGCAGACATTACAAGTAGGGGTAAACAGATAAAGATTTTCTTGGTCAATACTGAGAGCTGGTTATTAATCAGCCATACTGACCAATACTGATTCAATAGCTGATTTACAGGAATGAAGATGGGCAGCTTGGAGAGCAGCATCCTGTTGGTAAGTCTATGCAGGGTAAGGGGCATGGGGAAGGGAAAGGGCACATGGTGAGACAGATCAGGAGCAGGATGGAGCCACGGGTGGCTTGTCCAGTGGGCAAGTGGGGGGGGGGGTTCCTCCCCACCACTGAGCACACCCCTGGGGGAGGGATGGAGCGGCATGTGTCCCCCCCACCCAGGATTTGTGTGCAGAGTGAGGGCAGGCTGCCTACTGTAGGCTCAGGGCCAGGGGTTGTGCTAGCCCCTTCCCAGTAGGGGCCTGGGATCAAAGTCAGTGGGAGTAGGGTGGGCTCAGCTGTGTGTGTGTGGGGGGGCAATGGCAGCAATAGCAGCACTGGGAAGGGTGGCTACAAGGAATTTTGGGGTAGCTATAGGACCCAAGCCCCTCCTAGTGCCGCCCCTGCTCAGGGCACTCCACTCTACTGCCTTTTCCTTGTGAGCCCTGCACTGGCCATGAGTCCTTGGGGTGGTCCCCACCCTGCACAGCTGAGCCTGTCCCATTCCCACTGCCTCGAAGCCCAGCCACCCTGCTGGGAAGAGGCTGGTGAAGGCCCTGGCCCTGAGCCTGCAGCAGGCAGCTCATGCTTGCCCTGCACAGAAATCCAGGGGAGCACATGCCACCTATGCTTTTCCTGGGGGCGCACACAGCAGCAGGGAGCAGCCCCCCCATCCCCACCCATGCTCCCTGCAAAAAGCTGCCTGTGGCTCCATCTTTCTCCTAGCCCTTGGGTCACATTCACTGCCCTGACTGGGCAGCGCCTGTCCCTGCATCTGCCCCTGCCCCAGCCCCACTCCCTCCCTCACTGTGGAGGCCTCAGTCTGCCCCCGCCATGCCCCTTCCCCCCCACCCCAGACTTACCGGCAAGACACTGCTCTCCAAGCTGCATTTCTGACCGCATGCATGTGGCTGTGCGCATGCACACAGCATTTATTGGTGACAATATTGGCTACAACAGCCAAATACCGATAATGTTAATTTTCCTTTTATCGAACCCAATACAATATCTGACTGATATATCAATACACCTCTAATTACAAGCCCTTCCATTGAGATTGTGAAACAGGTGCTTTTCTATGTATTTTACATACAGTTAAATAGGGGGAAAGAATGATTTGCCAGAGGGCTCAAAGCAAGACAATGGAAAACTTGGAAGCAGAACCAAGCTGGCTTGGCTCCAAGTCCCTCTACTCAAAGCCCCCTAGGGACACTATATCACCCCCTTCTTCAATTTCCTGTTCTGAGAAAGTGACACTACAACATCTTCTTGTCAATGGCCTTCTGTGAACCTCATGTTTAAGAAACCATGCACCATTAATGAGGGGAGCTCTGACTAAAAGCAAAGGGTGAAGAGACCACCAAAAATAACAGAAGGGTCACTTGGTGCCTTTGAGGCTTTGCAAGCCAGCCTGGGAGACGCATCTCCTGGAGAACAAATCTACGAATGAACCTCAGTTCCTTTCATTCTCATTTTTAGGTGCAGGGAAGGTGAAACAGGCAGCAGGCTCACTCAATTAAATGTCTGTCTACTCTCAGCCAAAACTAACAGGCTTCTGTAACACAACAGTGAAGCCCATTTTCTTACATGACCCATCCAAGAAGTTTCATTTGTTCACAACCTTTGTTAGCCAAAGGCCTCCTCCTCTGAGGAAGCTGTCAGAAACTAATCCATAGAATGCTGAACATGAGGAATTAGGAGGCAAATTAGCTAACTATCACTGGCATGTTCACTTCCACAGACAGCAATTAAGGCTGTGCTTAAAAAAAACTCCACTCAGAGCTCAGATTACAGCTTTCCACTACTTCCACCAGTGGCACTACTTAAATCACCAATTGGGGTTTTATTTAAAAATTTTAAGAGCATTTTGCAACTGAGTAACCGAATAATGTGATGTTGAAAGTCTTTTTGTGTCACAATGAGGAAGTTTTGTAAGAAAGTGGCTCAGGAATTTCATAGGAGGGCAGAGAAAAACTTTTTCTCCCCTCACTTCCACTGAAATAAATAATTTGTGTCAGACTGGATTTTAAAACACCAGCTGCAATACAGAAAATAAGTATGAAAGGCACTTGCAATTAGAGTTGCACTGATATATTGGTCTGATATCAGATTGGTACCTACATAAAGAAGACTGTCTATATTAGGTATCAGCCTGATGGGTCCAATAATTTGGCTGATAAATGCCTATGCTGCACGCAACAACAGTGCAGCACTCAGGCAGCAAGTAGCAAAGCCAGCAGCATGGAGAGCTGCCTCCAGTTGGTAAATCTAAAGGGCAGCGGGCAGGGAAGGGGCATGGGGAGGCAGACCAATGCCCTCTGCAGTGAGGGAGGGAACAGGGACAGGCACTGATCAGCCAGGGTGGGGGGCGTGCGGGACAGAGGCATGGCTTGTGGGGTAGGGGCGGCTCCTGCTGCTGCTTGCACCCTGGGAGGGCAGGGAGGGAGGGAGGCATGTGCCCCTGGATCTGCACGGTGCAGGGCAGGTTGCAGCTGCGGGGTGGAGCCGGAGTCTGTGCTGCACGGGGCTCTTGTTGCGAGGGGCTGGGCTGGGAGCATGCTCCAGCACCACTGAGAGGGGGCTGCAGCAACCCCAAGTTTTGGCCACAGCTCCATTCCCAGCCCCACACTGCCTTCCGCCACAGCTGCAGCTTTTCCTGGAGCTTGGGTGGAGGCAGGGTGTTCAGCTGGGGCTGCGCCAGGCAGTGGGCAGCAGCACAGGGCTGGGAGTGGAGCTGTGGCGAGATCTGGGTTGGCTGCAGCCCTCCCCCAGTGCCACCAGAGCCCGCTCTGAGCCCAGCCCCCAGCAACTAGAGGTCCGCACAGTACCGGCTCCAGCTCCACCCCACACCTGCAGCCCACCCTGCACTGTATAGATCCAGGGGCACACGCCTCCCTCCGCCCCTCCTCCCAGGGTGCAAGAGCCACCCCCACCCCACAAGCTATGCCTTCGTCCCATGCGCTCTGCTGCCCCAGCTGGGCAACACCTGCCCCGATCCCAACCCCTCCCTCACCACAGGGGGGTTGATCTGCCCCCATGCCGCTACCCTCCTCCCACCCTTCCACCACAACAGACTTTCCATCTGATGGCAGCTGTACTGAATATTGGATCGGTATCAGCCGATATGCCCCTTTAAATATCAGCTATCGGTGTTGGCCCCCAAAATCTCTATCAGTACACCCCTGCTTGCAATGCAGCTGGTTTTGAAGAGAGTGATACTTACGGTAAAAACAGCCAGCATCCTCTCCAAGCTGGGACCACCCTGGGCAGCACCGGTACACAGTCTGATACTCCATGGTGTACACTTGTCTGTAGCTCGTGTAATATGTTGTTCTAAAAGAAAGAAAAACCACAAACAAGACCAGTGTTAATTCCTATCGGAGGAGGATTTACTATGGAATAGGGCAGAACAATGCTTCAATTCTGTCAGTGGCACATCAATTAATTTGTTTCTAAATATTCTGAATGTATTCCCACATATTATAAATCAGAGATTGTGGATCTTAAGAAAATATTTTTCAGCTCATTGTATTCAGGGAGGTGGGAGCCCAGAGGGAGACTGCTTCACAGAATTCCCAAAACTTCTCCTTTCTTCAGAGTTTTGTGTTTCAGGAAACCTTTTAGGATTCTATGTAATCCCCTCCTCCCACCCCAGATTTAAACTACCATTTCACAAAGGAAATTCAATTTACAAAAAACAACAAGGCACTTCAACTCCAGCCCTGGAAGCTAACAGCATTGAGGGGTCAGTGAGTTCAGAAATTATAAAGCAACCCTGCAAGCATCCCATTGGGAAACATCATGTTATTCCATGCACAGAAGTGTCCCAATGCTGACACATATTAAACAAGAAGCTAGCAGACATCCTGGAAGGTTCCTGTCTCCTCTGTTCTCTTTCACCAGCTCCTATATACCCTATGCATAATTCCTCATCTGCTACCTTGAGCCCCTTACAAAAGACTATTTCATACATAAAATGGAACTGGCAGCAATATGGACAATCCAGACTAGGGCTTCAGCTACTAAGGGGACAACAGGAGCAAGCAGCATTGCATACAGCCACCTGATCATCACATAGCCCACCTAAAACCCTGCCCTGCTGGCTTAGTGCTGGCTGTGAACGTAGACTACAATCCCAGAGGCACCTGGAAGTGATGAGCAACTCTGCAGAGTCTTGCTGGTGTGACCGTGGACTGCAAATCCCAGAGATCTTGGGGACAGCAGGAAGAGAAAGTGAACACACAGCTCATGTTGGCTATGTGCCAGAGAGCTGTGCTCTAGCACCCCCTGGCTTCTGGCTTGAGCCACTATAGGCATGTAACTGCATTTCCTGAATCACAAGTGAATGTCTGTTCATGTGCTTATTGGTTCAATCTTTGCAGCTTAGACTAACCTGCAAAGACTGAATCAATTCAGCCTTCGGCATTTTGACTATCTGTACTTAGCCAAAAAGCAAAGACCAGGGGAGGCCCCTGCTCACAGATCTGTTTCCTGGGTCTGCTGAGTTGATGACAGACAGAATATTTAGTTCTCTGAGTGTCTGGTCTGGGCCATCTTCAGGTGCAAGATACTTCTTCAACAACCAAAACCTGCCAGATTAAACACAGCCCATGTTTTCCTTGACCCTGCTAGAGAAGAGGCTTTGGCCACAGACCAAGTGCATGACCAGAGAGGAGGCCAGACGTCTGAAGGCTTTCCTTTCTCAGTGCCTAGCTACATCAGTCTCCTTCCCACTCTGTTCTACCCAAACCCTTAACCTCAAATGATAAACCCTTCTCAGGCCCCCAGAGACAAGCCTTTTTATCTAACACACCACCTCGGCATCTTCCCCAGCTCCCCATTAACAAACATTAAACATTGCAAAGTGCTTGCCTAAGGAGGCCGGGATCGGTAGCCCTGCATTCCAGATGTCACTGGACTTGTCCAAGCAGACTCACAGACCTGGGAAGGCCCCAGTCCACATGGCCATCCTGCCTGTCTTGAAGCATCTGAACTTCCTGCACTTCTCAGTTCACACAGAGCCTACTTATTTATTTTGTGGTAGCATGCAGAGGCTTTAACCAGGAACATGGTTCTGTGCTGGCAGATACTGCACTGAGGCTGAGAACTGAAGGTCCACTTAAATGAGTCCTGCTAGTGAGTTCCAGGGTGGGAGTTAGCATGGGGAAGCAGAGGTTGGATAAATAAATAAAAGTAACACTTTTTTCCCCTGGAAACGCAGTGGTTTGTATACAAAAAACAATACAGATCAAACTTTTGAAGCTGACGTTAAAAATTCTGCTTTGGCAAGACATGAAACTGCTCCCCCAAAGCATGATGGACAAACAACAACACAAAATATCTGGCACAGCAGAAAGTGTTGTGCATGTCCACAGAAAATATTTATCTAAACTAAACTGTTTGACTTTGTCTATGTGGTTCTACAAACCAACTGCATAATGGCAAACAATTCAAATGAATTCCCATGAAGGAACCCTTCCACCACTCTGCACTGCCAAAAAGCACGTTGACAAAAGTAAAAGTGGTTATCTATTTTTGGTATAAGCTGTTAACGAATGATGAAGAAAGCAAGCAGTTTCCAAATACAGCAGAGCAAAACATGTACAGCCATTCATACATCAGGAAAGGCAGCCATCCTCCTGACATCCATCTGGATCATGCATTGTCAAAAGTTTCCCACCAGCCCAATACCCTATGTTGAAAACAAATACAGGTTTCCCGTGCTTTATTTTCTACACGCGTTCCTAGAAAATGGCACATAACTTGAGTTCACATATAGGCAACCCACTTTACAATGTAACGAATAGAGATATGTTCCAAGACCTCTACTGTACTGACCCCCAGAGCCATTTCTATCACTTTTACAAGACAATTTTGGTACTCACTGGCAGCAGACAGTACACACAAGCACAGGGTGGTGGGAAATGTTACCATAATGGGGATGGCAACTACAGAAACACGTCACAGACAGTGAGTGAGAAGCACAGATCCACACAGGAGACTATATTTTGGTGCAAGTCATTCACACAATGCACATCACAAAGCAGTTGACTGCGGGCTTCCACCACACTGATCACATAAGAGTGAATTTACATTGCATATAATGAATTTTTGGTATAAAAAAGGTCATTGCATAAGAGCGAATTCACACATATAGAGCCCATATAAAATGAGGGAAACCTGTAATGCTTTTAATGAAATATAGCACGCATTACAATGGGTAAAGGTAATGTTAAGGATGTGGTACATCGCTAAGCCAAAAAGCATCCATGGTGGAAATGACAAAAGATGACCTGCTCATGTGTAGGGAAAATAAAACTACCTCTGCATTGTGAACATGGGAGACAATTTGGGAAAACATGGGTTTTTCCTACAGCAGGGGTAGGCAATGTTTTTTGGCTGGAGTGCCAAAAAAACCCACAATGTCTACCTTGGAAGGTGCCGGAGTGCTGGCATGCCAGAAAAACAAAATGAGGGCTGGTGGGGTGGGGTGTACATGGCAGGACGCACTGCATAATAGTATATTTAATAATCATAAATGTTGCCTTTGTTGTTGTGTATTCCTTTTTTGTTGAGCATGTTGCAATGAGAGAGAGAAAAGGACAAATAAGAGAAAGAAAAAGGAGAGCAGAGAGAGAACCAGACACGCGCACAGAGAACCAGAACACACCCAGAGGAGACACATGTACACACACATCCAGAATCAGACACATGCATGCGCACACAAACACACAGGTCCAGACAGAGGCAGACAAACATGCACAACCAGGTGCGCGGGCACACAGAGCTGGGCTCCTGGGCCACTGGACAAAGTCTGCTCCAAGGCACGCGTGCACCTGCCGGTAGGGAGCTAATGCCAGAGCCCAGAGCAGATGTTTGCAGCCTCCCGGCTGCAGCCAGTCCAGGCTCTGGGTAGCTGCTGCCAGCCACAGCAGGACTTGCAGCCACGCAGCTACCTACTGGGAGCAGCCCAGGCTTCGTGGTTGGCAGCAGCTGCCTAGAGCCCAGGCCGTCGGTGGTGTGCCAAGCAAAATGGCCTCACATGCTGGGGGTTGCTGACCCCTGCCAGGGTGTTCTCCTTCTGGATCATGCAAGTTCAGAAACAGATGAAAGGCTATTTTAAGTGAAAGCAGGGGTTCAGTAGGAAAAAATAAAGCTGGACCATCTTTTGTCCTTGGACATTCCTGCTACTTAAGATGGGGAGGGCATGTGGGGGGAAATGAAAAAATATTTTACCCAGTTCAACTCCTGCTGCTTGCCAACATGTCCATTAGCCCAACAGTTCTTAACCTTTTGCACCTTATGTCCCACCAACCACCTTGTCAAAAAACCCTGGCCCATCATGATAAAAACAAAACCCCACTTTTCCCAAGAAGTGTATTTTTATGTTTACATGCATTTTAGTATTATATTAATCACTAATGGAAATTTTCAAATGAGTTGAAGTCCCACCTACACGACCTTCGCATCCCACCCCCACTGGTTGAGAAACTGCATTAGCAGACACTGCTCAGAGGAATGGCAAAGGCAGGTAAGGAGACTCAATAACTCCCAAGAGAAGGAGACGGGATAAAATACCAGCTCTGCAGCAAGTGGTTAACTTCAGGGTCAAGATGCAGGGTATGGGAAACATTCCTTTGAACAGCACTGGCAAAGCACCTCTCTTTCATATGCTTTGGTTAGATAAGAATTCTGCCCAGCATCAATCTGGCGCTTTTTATGCTCATATCAGAATCCATAAACTTTAATAAAGCAGGAAGTTCTGCAGTGAATTTGGGTTCTCTTCTGCCCTTAAAAGATCTCTCAATGTCCAGAGGAGCCGCAAGGGAGAAACACCTCATCCCATCTCTGTTAACCTTTCCAAGCCCAGCCTGAGGGCAACAAAAGTCAGACAAGCTCAAGCCCCAGGTTAGTTCACAAGGGCCATGCCCTAAGGCACCCCCATATTAGCACCGGCAGAATCGGAAAGACAGCAGAATCAGAAATGACAAGGGACTAGATGATTTAATGTGTTTTCTCTATCTGCCACCCAAGCCCCAGTCACAATGTGACTGCTCCAGACAGTGTACTTCCTAGCGTGATGTAGCATTTGTTTTGGTTTGTATAAAGCGTGGCAATCTGATATTCTGGGCACAGAGACAAATGTTAACAAAAATAAATACTTCCACTAGTAGCAATATCCAAGAGCCAGAAGAAAGCTCTCTGAAGCTGACTGTCTCAGTGCTCCGCCCAACTCAGAAGAAGCCTAAGGGAACAAAACAATGAATTTGCCCTTGGATTCTGATCCAGAGAAAATCCTTAGCAGGTCCACTGGAGTTCTAGGCTTAATGACA